GAACATTTGCGAGGAAATGATACAACATGCAAATTCTGAAGTGGCGAAACGAAATAGCCCGCAACTGTTGATGGGAAAGTATTATACAATAATATATTTAATTATTGTATTTATTTCCCGCATTTTGTTGCAAATTGTCGCCCCTTAATAGGCTCACTATATCCAGAAAAATGTACTAATCCGGCAATTTATGTCACGAAGTGGAATTCATTACACGCTTATAACAAAATTGAGTTTTTATAGTGGGAGTTTTGTATCGTCCTAGCAGAAGGTATATAATTAATGAGGATAAAAGTTGTTTGTCATAAAATATAACTTGCATTAAGTAGTGAAATTGATACTCCTTTTTTTTAAATAAAAAAGAATGCAATGAATCCCAAGTTCGCTTGTTCAGACCAAAACAGCCTTGCATTGGCGACTCAACAGCTGTTTCGTCATGCAATCAATCAGTTGGCGAAACTTCGAACAGTGAGGTAGCCTTTCCGTGAGGAAAGAATCTGTTGTAGTCGGAGCGCAGAGGCCAGCAGGTTTCGCGACTGACGCGTGGCGGGGAGAGGCGGGGCGTGGCGGGGCGGAGGGCGTGTGGCGCTCTACATGTGCCGCGTGTTGCCGAAGCCGCCGTGGCCCGACTGCGAGGCGCCCTTGTTGTAGCCCATCTGCAGGTTGAGCTCGCTCTCGTGCGCGCGCAGCTGCGCCTCGGTGAACTCGCGCTTGTTCTCTTCCGCCATCTTGGGGCCCAGGCGCGGCCCGGTGTACTCGGGGTGCTTTTGCGTCTGCGCACACAACACACAAACACACATGCATGAAAGAATGTGTTGAAAATTAGTTGTTGCAGAGACTCGGGTTTGAGTCGTGTAAATTTCTTAGGCTCTGAGTGAGAGCATCGCTGCAAATTCATAAACAAGTAGCGAAGCGTCAAATGATTTTTGAGGTACTTTGGCGTGAATAAATATATTGTAAAGCGCGCGTTGGCGTTTAAAGGGACGGCCGGACAAAAAATCGGCCTGTGAAAAAATGGACGTCTACATATTATAAATGAATCGTTTATAGCGATCGCCGTGAACAATTCCGAGATTCTGCCGGCCTAGATAGGCGAGGTTGGTAAGGCTGAGGGCCTTGTCTCTCGAGCCTGAAAAGACGGAGATTCGAACCCAGCCTGGGGCATGGATGTTGTGTGTGTCAGTATACCAGTTCCGCAACAGTTACCCTAAAGTTTCAAAACGAAGATTAATTACAATAGATGCTGAATGACGTTAGTAGTTCAAAGGCGATCTTAAATAAGTAAAACTAATCAGAGATTCGCACACCGTTAACTAATCAGATGGCAGTATTTGTCTCGTATGTTTAATCCAGCGTACGTTTTAGAGACGAAACGCAACGCTCCCTCCAAATCTGGCCTGGAATAAGGGAAGTGCAGAGGGCCGCTGTGGAAGGAGCACGGGGCGCGCAATACGAAACGGGGAAAACTGGGTCACTGCGGTATTAAAGACGAGGCACGCAAACCCCGACGGGCAAAACATCCGTTCCTTGAGCAGGCGTGGCCCATGGTAATTTAAATACAACTGTGCTTACGATGCTTACAGAACTTACGACCCAGGCACTGTATGGGGAGGTGTCCGAGAGGGATCCGCATATAATAGCTCCAAGCGCGCATGTTGGTCGCGGGGAGTGAGAATGAAGGCAAAACGACTGCTCGTAGGTGTCCACTCGGGGGATTTATCCCCCCAGTGAACGTTAAAGATGTGTGGGGCAGGGTTCGGTACTTACGATGCGGCCGAGGGCGTAGATGCACAGCGTCACCTGCGGGATGTTGCGCTTCTCGAAGAGGTCGGCCGTCTGGAAGATCTCCTCGTCCGGGACGCCGTACTTGCGGATGGCCTGCTGGAACCTGCGCCAACCACACGTCACGTTAGAGACAGTTAAAGTGGAAAACGTTGTATGACTACAACCCAGCCAAGAGCAAATCTATTGGTATATTGAATATGTAGAACACAGAAATGAGGAAAAGAAGTATAAATTGTGATTGTGCCTTCCTATTAAATCACTGTTCTTATAATTTTTTAGTTACGTATCAACATGAAGTGCATGACATTGTAGTATATTCTCCTAGCAATCTTGTTCTGTCCGGTATTCAAGTGAATATTTGCAAAGGAATGAAAACTTTGATTTCACTTGCATAAAATTTGCTGTCGAGAAATTGCTGTGAAATCTGAGCAAACGTGAAAATGACAATCAGTTTCGAAGTACAGAGGGTAATACTGAAAAGGAGGATAGTTTAAGTGAAATGTTACTCGCTCATTGTTAGTTTTTCTTGGTGAATCATTATAATGCATCATTAAAGAAATACGACTAATTTTCTTCTTACTGAAGTAGTACGTGGAACTGATATTCTATGTAACCTGTTACATTTTTGTGTGAAGCGCATGGTAATTTTTTCCAAAAAACATTTGACTTCCTCTAATTTCATCTTAAAGAAAATCCTCAGAAAGCTTTCTCCGAGTCACAATTCGTGTTTGTCCTATTCGTCTTAATTTTATAAACTGGAACTTCATTTTTTGAACGGTGATACTTAATAACTATATATATGAAATGAGCAGATGTGCAGATGTGCAGAAGAGAATGTGCAGATGTTATGTTCGTTGATATTCCTGATTTTTCGAAAATTGCAAAAGTCCAAATTTCTTCCTACAAGTAAATATTACAGATACAGATTTTTTCTCTTAATCAAATCTGTTTCTTAAAGATAGATTTTGAAATAATCGTGTACTTTTTTTCGAAAATGTGAGTACTTTTCGTGTAATTTTGCGTGAAAAAACGGGGGAGAAAGTATGCGTGCAGCTTTAGTTTGTTTCATTGGGTTCGGGTCCCTAATTGTAAGTGACGTGAGTAGGGTGATGCGCACCTCTGGATGTTCTCCATGAGCTGGAAGTTGGTACCCTTGGTCTGGATCTTCTTGACGGAGCCCGGCGCGATCTTGTTGATGAGGTTGCACAGGACGACGCCGTCCTTGAGCACGTCGTCGTACTGCTGGCTGGGCAGCTTCTCGCCCAGGACGTCCTCGATCCACTGCAGGACCTCCGTCTCCTGCTCCTTGTTGCGGGCCTGCGCCGAAACGATGGACTTAGAAGATGGCATAGTTCAAAGATATAATAGCTCTTTATATTAAATATCATAGCTCATAGATCAAAATATTCCATATTTCGTAATTCTCAGTGTGATGTGTGTGGGGTCAGAGAGAGTTCATGATCGCTATAACTCTAATGGCGCTTTGTGATAAGAAACATAACGATTGTGTTCTGAAAGTATAGTTGTTTTAGGTTCTGCCTAAAACAATTACAATATTCATACGGGCAATTAACCCCATTCACATAGTAAAATGAAACAAGTTGAATGGTAACAATTTATAAATGATAGTGAATAAACTATCTTGAAACTGGAAAAGACTAAACGTCTAATGAATAAAATAGTACACTAAAAGTAGTCACATAAATTACAAAACGTAAAGAAAACATTAAGTCATCTGGCATTTCCATAATATCAATTACATCAGTTTGTACTCAGGGGATTCATATGAAATATTGGTATTTAAGTGTATCAAATACTATGTATGCCAGTGTATCAAACGTTTATCATGTACAGAACTCGCCAAAATGTTTAAAATATATTTTCTTGTACCTTTGAGTAAGCTGAATAAGGAGATATTAGACTGATATCAAACGGCTACTAAATTACATGGAAAGAATTACTTTCAAATAAGATCAACTAAGGAACAAATAATTCGTCGCTGTATATTGTGCCAAATATGCTCTCCATTGAATTTAGTTAAGAGCACGTGTTTCCACACGTTAACACAGATTTAACTTATGACTGTAAATGACAACTTAGTTCCTTGCACCAGTATGAGAAAAAACAGCTTCCATGTCAGACTAAAGTCGTCGACACTTGTGGTTCGAAGGAAAACAACTGCGCGTTTTCGGTGAGGTAATAATATGTGAGTTCGTGTGATAGGGTGGGTCCTAACCAGGAACATTGCGTGAAAGAATTGAAAATAGTCAGTGTCTACCCGATGAATTAAATGTAAGATATTAGTAGAATGTGTCATGTATTGGTAGTATATAATTCTGAAGTACATATTATTCTTCAATTTTTGGTCTGTTTTCAAAAGAAGGCTTATGCAGCCCTGTGTCAGCGATAGCAAGAGCAATCCAAGCTCGAATAACCAGGAATGACATACAAATCTGCCTTCCCGGGCTTAATTTTCCGTTAGGATATTCTGCGCGCCTTTACAGTGAACCGATACACGGAGACTCAAATCGAAGCGTGGACCTTCTTTACAGGCATAGGACATTCATTTCAAACCCTGCGGCAGACGTCATTCTCGTCAGGAAACGTTTTAGCTCTAATGACTCGACTTTTCCTTTGATATTTTTTCCAGTACAGCTGTTCTTTATACATAAACTCTTTTGGATTAGCCCATGAATGTTTGTGTTGAGTTATTTAGCCAATAGTTTTGTCCTGTCCTATAGCTCGACAGTACGGGCCTTGGCCGATCAGCGGTGACCTAGCCTCTCGGCCCTGGGATAAGGGATTTGTGTGGTTAGCAAGAAGACATCCCTTCACCGTATATTCTGGTCTTCATAACCTTAAGGTGGGCTTTCTCATCATCATTCAGTAATTTTTGTAAGGAAAGTGATCAGTTATTATTTTGTCCCGGCTGGGAATCGAACTCGGCGTTGCACCGTGGAATGCGAACAAGCTAACCAACGAGCCACCGAGGGCTCCGATGTGTATGTCGCTCAAATTCTCGACTACGGGATAACTATATTTGGGTATGCCCTCCAGAGTCTCCTGTTCCTGGCCGCCGCCTGCCGTGTGGGTTTGTGCGCTTGGACGGGGGTGTTTCCTCCCGCGCCAGCGCTGACGGGCGCGCGCGCGTTTGTGTCGTGGAATCTCGAGTCGAGTGCCGCAGTCGGTCGTTAGTTCCTTGGCGCTAGACGCCGCTCTAAAAATATTAACTGTTTGTTTTGCTTGGATCTTCCTGCACTAAGACGTTGTTTGCTTTGTTCCGGTGCGCAGTCATTCATTTTCTGTGTGTGATTGGGTCCTGCGTTTACTCAGTTTTGTTTTTTTAAGATTCTGACTTGTCGAATGGAAAAAAGTGCGTGTCTTCTGTTTATGTTAAGTGGCAGAAATTGGGAGCAAACTAGGTGGACAATGATGAAATGTTGATTGACAGATAGGGGTTCACACGAATGTGTAGACACTTTGCTGTTATTCTGAGCAAGAGGAGTTATTTACGTTCAGATTTCCACATAATGTAGTGTACTTTTCCTATTACCACCATTATAGGAGCGTATAGATAGAACTAATTAAGAATTTGTTACATTATAATAATGGTCGTTAGTTGTATTTCTATATGTATTTATATATTAAAATTGATGTACAGCACTGTAGATTATCTAAATATCCGAGATATAAAAAGTCATAAATTTTCAAGTCCATTGGTAACTTTAAGCTGTTGTAAAATTACTATGTATTCACTCAGCCGATCATAAATTTTCAAATAGTTTTCATAGTAAAAGAAGTTCCTTTAACATCACTGGACACATTTCAAATGACCTTTTCCATTGAACATCTCACAAACATTGTTTTGTGATCATTTACATTTCAGAGGAAAATTGTTAATTACTTTTCAAATATTTACACATTAGTTGAAAATATTGTCCGCCTGATTTTCACCGCGTTGCGTAACGCTTTTCGCGCGGAATTGAACGAGGTGCAGTGCGAGGGTTGGCGCCTCATTCATGGACCCTGCGGCGCCCCAGCGCTGCGGATGCGGCACCGCTTCACCATCCGAAATACACGCGCGGGCGCCGCGCCAGGGCGGACGCGGGGCGTGGTCGCCCCTCCCTCGACGCCGCGACCTGCTCCAGAAATCAACGCTTTGCAAGCTAACTTCTTTTTAGGGTCATAATGAATTCATTTTTAAATGACGATTCTTTGCAATAATTTATTAATAATTATAAAAGTTTACATTTTATTATATAAAAGTGATATAATTAATGCAAGGTTTATATTAAATAAACATATTTATTAAGCTAAATATTTTATTGAATAATATTTAAGGCTCTTATGCATTTCTCAGCTCTTATGAAGATTGTTTATTCTCTGGATTCTAGTTTTACCCCAGCTAATCAAACCTACTCGGAGTTAACGAAACAGTGGAATGTTTCAATTTCATATCATACCCTTATTGTTAGCATGGAAAAGAACGCAAAAAAATTTGTTAGACATTTACCTCCCTTTGATGTTTGGCGCCCTTGGCAAAGGCCAAGTCTCAAAATATGCGGTCATTTAAAATCTAGCATCTCACAAAAAAAAACGATAATAATTGACCCTCGCAATTTTTCGCTCGTGGAAACGTGTTGCCTTCTTGAAATTCCTTGCACCTTGATTTA